TTCAATGGAGGACTGTCGTGCTCTCGGTCTATTTTGCGCACTCTCCCATAGAGTTCCACGCAAATCCGATTCTGACTTTTTTTTCCTCTCGCCGCAGCGCTATCTGTTGCAAATCGGGGGTACCTGCAAGCAGCGAGTGCACAATCCGGTCACGGCGCTGCGGTAGGCTTTTATTGGCCGTTTCCCCACCTGTCTATCTTACACCCTGGGTAAGGCAGACGCAGACGACGTTGCTAAGGAGCAGACGACGCTCAGATAGGGGGTCGCGATCAGCCAATCAGGGCTCAGCGTTCCGACGTCACCGCTGCCCCTTGCGCAAAAAGCAGACGAACTTGCCCTCCGCATAGAGATTGCAACGCTGCCTTTCCCACTGATCTCTATGTCTATTTGCTGGATCGCGTTTGAGCAGCTCCTCCTATGGACTGGAATGCGGTCACTGGCGGCCATCTTTAGGTAGAGTGGTAGAGTTATGTCATCTCTAGCCATCATAGTAATATGGCGGACAGCGCAATGGCGGCAGGCTGCCATAAAATAGCCGTAGATCTAGTACACTGTACCGTGGGTGACATTTCGTGCTTGATTGAAGTTGTTCGACGAAGCAGATTCTTGAAACCCGGCGTGAACGGTAGCCTCATCTTTGAGGACCCGGCAAAAGTTCAACGAAAGCGCAGCACCGGGTGAAAGCAGCGCAGCTCGCATCAAAAGCAGACTCCGTACCGTCGTCTGCTTTCGATGCTTCTTTCGATGCGACTTTCGGTACGTGCTGTGCTGCTTTTCTCCCGGTGCTGCGATTTCATGAAACTTTTACCAGGTCCTCAAAAACCGGACTACTGTTCACGCCGTGTTTCAAAAACATGTTTCGTCAAATAATTTTAATCAAGCACGCAATATCACCCACGCTATTTTGACCGCAGCCTGCCAACCCACCTGCCAAAACGCTATATGCCATGGATGGAAGATAGCGGCTGCAGCAGCTTACACTGGCTAGAGGTGATATAACTCTACCTAAAGATGGCCGCCAGTGACCGCATTCGCGGAGCGGGCAAACGCGATCCAGCAATTGTCATAGAGATCAGTGGCCTTTCCTCCCGCAGCGGCCGCTCTGTAAACTACATAGCTGCACTTACTGGTTCCGTCGAGTCACAGAAGGGCCGGTGGCGCCATCTTGAAGGCCATCGTGCCGTAGCCATGTAAAGCAACTTTCATGTTTCACCTCGTCGCTAAAAGGCGGCGCTGTTATTGTATTTAGCTTGGTCTCGGTGGACGCCAGCAGCCCAGGTTTCAAGGGAGAGTTTCCCAACCGAGTGGTTTAGTAACATTGGTTTGAGGTGAGTTGCAAACCCAACAGTATGCTATTTGAAGCGACAATAAAAAGCTTGGAAGCGGCCATGAAATGAAGTTTGGGCTGGGATAGATAATTTGAGATTGGAACTCGCTGATCACATATCGTTTAGTGGCTCAAAACAAAGAATGTAGGAAGCCAAAAGCCTGCTTTTCGGACTACAGTTAAACCTCGACTTAACGAAGTAACCGGGACCCCCTAATTACTTCGTTAAATCGGGAACTTCAAAAATCGAGGAAGGGAGACCTCGCGCATAGGCTGCACAGGGAATCCGAATTTGTTCGTTAAATCGGGAAATTGGTAAAATTGTGTTTTGTTAAATCGAGGTTCAACTGTATTTCATACCTCTTTTCCTTGAAAAGCTTTCCATCTTTTTACTGTGATAACGGTACCCAAAGCACGTCAGCCTACCCCAGCTCACACGTTGAACACGAGCACTGCATCACGCATATTTAAATTTGCATTCGTGGCCGATGAGTGCCATGGCGGCAGTAATCATTGCTTGCAAATGACAAATTCCATGATGCGCTCAAAAAGGTGAATGGAAGCTGGGAGTCATCGTACCGGTGTCCAAACATGTCACGACCGCACGATTCCTCATTTCGCTTTTGAGTTAAAGGAGTCATGAAACGCTTTTTCAACTTTTTTCTGTTTAGCTTTCCTCCTCAACTCATAAATCGCGCATTGTACCAAACAGTTCAAGAAGTCGGAAAGGGGGGAGTCCCCTCTTGCTCGGAATCTCGCTTGACTAGCCGGACACAGCCATTGTCCCCCTAGAAGATTAGCCCGTCGCTCAAAATTCCGACTAGTTGCTTTCCCCACCCCGTTCACCCCGAAGCTGACAGTGCTGTGGAAGCTACGTGCTCGTTGGGCCAGCTACACAATTTCCACGTGATCATGCTCTCTCGCGCATACCGACCCGCAGAGAATGAGGTCAGGTGATGAAAGGGAGGCGGCTGATTGGTCCGGCAAGCGCGTAGCTTCCACCGCAATGTCAGCTTAGGGGTAAAGGGATTAAGTGAGGTCCGGTGTCGTGTCACGTGCGCTTGGGCATGGTGACGCGCCACCTCCGCCACCGTTTCCTTGACGTCGCGGCCAACGCGCGAGGAGCAGAGCCGTGTATTGGGAGAGTTTGGCCAATAGGCGGAGCAAAGGCCGCTGCCAGCGCCGAATATTCCCCCCACGCTTAGAGCGTAAACTAAATTTGTGACAATGCGTCGACCAATCAGGAGACCTCTACTCCATCTCACAAATTTCTGCAGTGAAGACAAAGGCACAGGCGCGTGAGCCTAGCTCAGCGAAACGCTTTTGTTTGTACGAGACCTCGTGCATAGGAAGCACTTTTCGAAGCCACGCGCTCGTGCCCATGCCTTTGTCTGCACTGCTAGAGCAGCGTCCTGAGACTGGCTGAAAGAAAACAGTGCAAAGGGTGGGGTGCGCGAGCGTCTTGAGACGCGGAGTTCCGCTCGGCACGGCTCAAATTATACTTCGTTTCACTTTATCTGCGAGCGAAACCAAAGCTAGAAGCGCGAGACCAGCGCTTTTTGCATTTCTCCCCAGCTCGCGCGCTCGAGCAAAGCCTGAACGCACGGAGCTTCCGTGCTCGCGCTTCCAGTTTTGCCTTCGCTCGCACATAAGGTGAAACGAAGTATAGTCGTGTCACATATTTAGATCACACGACCACCGCTAGGGGCTGTTTCGCGGCCTGTGGTTGGCCCCGAGATGCTCGCCTATTCAAACCAATGTATGGCCAAACTCTCTCAATAATCGGCTCTGGCGAGGAGCTGGCGAGGAGGGTCTTGCCTTTCTGTACATATTTGCTTTATTTTTCGACTTTGACTTAGCATTGTGGAAGCCACGAGAGGGAGATTAGAGTTTTCCCCCTCCGATAGAAACAAATGCGACTTTCGGGGATTAGCTTTCCCCCCGATGGATACAAAGGCTGCTTTCAGGGGCTCGGTTCCCTCTCCGATGAATACAAAGGTCGCTTTCTTAAAAAGTGGGATCGGAGACAAGTGAGAATCCATTGAAGCGGAACAAGGAGCGTTTCCAGGGAACTCTTCTTTCGACTGCGGAGAGATTTGAAACGGGCGCATCACACTTGTGGGAGGAGCTTCTCCTACCTTCTTGACTTGTACGCGCTGCGGGGTCCGCGGATGTATCACAGTGAAAAGGCGGAGAGTTTACGAAGGGAAGGAGGTACGAAATAGTCCGCTATATTTTGCAAATTTTCGTAGCGAAAGTCAGGCTTCTGACTTTCTACCTTTGTTCTTTTGGCCCACTGAACGATGTGCTATTAGTAAAATCCTAATATAAATCGATTTACTCCAGCCTAAAATTCGTTTCATGGGTCCTTTAAGGAGAAGAGCTAAGGAGGAAAAAGTAAAAAAATCATTTCATGGACCCTTTAGGAATTCTCATGTCCGTCGTAACAAATAGCAGTGTAGCGAGCCCCAGGCTGTCTCAGTGCTGCAAAGAAAAAATTAGCCATAAAATAAATGAGAATGAAAATTCCAAACCTTTTTGCAAATTGTAGCAGAATAAGGACTTTTGCAGAATTTGACGCAGATGGTACACCCACGACAATACCTAATCCTACCCCCACTTATCTGTGGGCAAATATCAGGTGCAAGGAAGGTTGAAACCAAAGCTTACTTGGTATAGCCCATAGATTGTAGAATGCTCATCAACGGTAGTAAGGCACAAAGGCAAGTCCTTCAGCTAGGAAAGCAGTTTATTTGTGATTCACTGAATCCAGAAAGACCAGATAAGTACGTAACAGACACATTTCTTTTTACAACTTCAGGAACACAATTCAAATTGGAGCAAAGTGGAAAACCTAGGTTAAAATGTGAGGAAATCCAAAGAACTAAGGTGGAATCACTTTTCATAATGTTGGCACAAAAATCTACACATAGGATTCAATGTGCCTTAAAAGGGGGGGGGGGGGGGGGGGGGAGGGTGCAACAATTTCCGGACTTCCATCAAAAATTTGTGGAAGTTGCCCTCCGACACTTCTGAAGTAAAGAACAGAAAACCGATTTCGCCTGCGTGTCCTACTTGTTGCATAAAAAAAAGATAAATATTCACATTCCTGGCACCCCTCAACTCACTCCCGGTCTTCAGGGTCATCACACCTGGTCCCCCTCCTAGTAACATGATTCGGGGTGCCGTGTAGGTTCCCGTGTGCTCTCTCAGAGGACGCTTCCTCTCCCTCTCTGCTGAAATTAGCGGGCATTATGCTGCAGCTTAGGGCCGAACGAAGTCACTTAAGCTTCTCGCCGTAGTTCCTTCGGCTGCCACTTGTGGCTGCAGGTGGGAGAAAAAGCTCAACTTCTGCTTTGCAATTATGCAGCGGAATCGCAACATGTTTTAATGAGGGAGATGTTTTCTCTACCCTCCAGGACATGATAAACAATGTAAAAATGATAAGATGCAAATTGTTTTAATCTTAAAATCGTTGAACCGCCTTTAATGAGCCCCAATGCTCCACATCCACTAAAAATCAACAGTTAAAAGTAGCTCTATACGTCCTAAAACAAAAATAATACCAAAGGTAAAAGCCATTAAAAGAATGTGCTACTAAGCAGTACTGCAGCTGTTGCCTACTGCAACTGATAACGTTTAGAACTGATGAATATCCCTGTTCCTCAACTTCAGGTGAACAAACAACATACAAACAGTGAAACACACAGTAAAACATGAAAACTCGTCCACACAAATGACCTCCAGAAATTCCATGGCTCCGATTCCTCACTTGTGCATTCTTTTTATATGCCTACTTAAATGGGTTTTGGTGCCAAATGCTTCCCCACATGCTTCACACTTGTAAGGCCGCTCCCCGCTGTGGGTTCGTTTATGATTCAACAAGTTGGATTGATCCGAAAATGTTTTCTCGCAGATGTCACACTGGTACGGCTTCTCACCCGTATGAACTCTTTTGTGAATCACTAGGCGACTGTTTTTTACAAACGTCTTCTGGCAAACCTCGCAGCGAAATGGTTTCTCCCCTGTGTGAGTCCTCATGTGAGTCTGTAAGCTACCGATTTGAGTAAAAGCCATCTCGCAGACAGAGCAGTGGAAAGGCTTCTCTCCCGTGTGTGTCCTTTCATGCTCAATGACATGATGCAGATAACGAGTGAAGTAAGGGCAGAACTCGCAGTGGTACAAGCCCCCACGTCGTGGCCGCGTCGTGGGTTGCGACTCAACCAGTTCTCTAGGGACAGAGAAGAAGCTCTGGCTGTCTTCATCTTCCGAGGAGGCTGCTTCGCCCGGCACTGTAAAGGAGACGCGAGAAACAAGGAGTGTTAACGACAGTGAAAGTCCAATGCCAACACGCAAGCATTACACAAACTTGCCAAGTCTGCATTGCATTCAGCAAAAACTACCACACACAAAGAAACGTATTGACACCTGTTTGTTTCAGAACGACGAAGACAAACTCGGCAAATAAGAACAGTTCAAGTATTAAGAAAAGCTGTAAGGCTGTTATTACATGAAAGTAACATCACACTTTGAATAAGCATAGTCTACTGATGCATATAATTTTCATGCACACTTTATCTCTCAATGAATCAGCTCATCTCACATCCCAATAGCCTTAAAGAACACATGCAAAGGAAAAAATTTTTTTTTTTTTTAAACAGCTTAGATGGGAAAAGGATGTCATAAAACAATGTTATATCAAAGAAAAAAAATTTTTAGAGCTATACTTACGGCGCTACACGAATTTGTAGTTGGCGCCTGCGGGCGCGGCGGAAAGGTGACCCTTACTTATCATGTGACTGGTCCTTATTTATCACGTGGTGCTTGCGCTCTTTTGGAAGCTTCCTATGGCCTCTAAAAGTAACCTATTCATCTTTGTTTGAAGTATAACAAAAGCTAAGACTAATAAGTAACTTTTAGAGCCCAAAGGAAACTCCTGAAAAAGCGCAAGCAGACGTGATAGACCTGTGCACCGGTCAGATGATGGCGGCGGTGCCCCGAAGCAGACGAATTTGTGCGGCGGCGCCGACGGCAGCGTGGATAAACGCGTTGAAGCAGTGTCGCACAGCGTGCGGTGGCGGCGTGACTTTGCGGCGGCGGCGACGCAGCACGGCGGCGCGCGGGTCTACCACATGACCAGCGGCGGCACTTGCGGGCGCCAACTACAAATTCGTTTTGCGCCGTAAATATAGCTCTAAATTTTTTTTTCCTTCGCTGTGAATTTGTTTTATAATATTCTTTTTCCATCCAGCCTGTCTAAAAACAAAAGTTTTTTCCTTTATATGTGTCCTTCAAAGAAAAATAAAAGAGCCTAATCTCTGGACCTGGGAATTGCCATGAAATATAAGGCAGCAGTGAAGGTAGCATGTAGCCTGCGAAGTCTGTCCATTGTAATAATGTTCTAGAAAAGGTCACCATACAGTCAATGTCACTGTACATCAATGAAAAATCACACACTACTTGAGTATCCAAGCACTGGTTCCGGTAAAAGAATGAGATTAAAAAACCACAATTGCTAACATCTTGTCTCAAACACCAGGCAAGAGCAAGCGGTGCAAAACAACCCTATCACACTGGTTTTCTTTGCACAAATGGAGTGGTGGTGAACGCAATCACATTGGTTGACTGGTTGTGCTTATCTAAAAACCTGGCATTCATCGGATGCAATAGGAGACACTCATTCTGATTTAATGATGCTGGACTGGCATAAGCAAGAACACTGCACAAAGAATGCATGTTCCAAAAAGTTGAGTTGGCAAGTCGGAAGAAGTCTCCCTGCAAAGCAAAAATGTGCCATTTGCCGCACCTTGCGACGATTGCCAGAGTCGACCTGCAAGGTTGAGAAGAGAATAATGAGCAAATATACTGCCGCTTGAGTGAGGTAATCACTTGACCGGTTTTTAACACCCCAAAAACAGCACACTGACATGAACACCAAAAGCAGATTGCAGCAAAAAAAAAAAAAAAATGTAACAGGCATGAACAGAAAATGATTTGTCAATGTAAACAAAACAATAAATGAAAACATAATTTTAAATTTTCAGAGAAAAAATTGGAACTGAGTCGTAGCATATTTAAGGTAAGGACACTACCCAGAAAAAAAAAATGCAAAAAAAGTAGATTTTGATAAATTCCCTATTACATCTGCAATACCTAGAGAGTATTCCCAGAAAGTTTCATTTGTTTACAGTGCATAGTTATTTTTTTATAAATTATTTTCAGTCCAGCAATGCTAAAGAAAAGGTAGAGGTTCGATGATCATAATGTAAAAACAGCGCAAACAAACACGAGTCAGCACTTGTCCCGTCTGCGTGTTTCTTCTCCTTCGTCCGTGTTTGTTTGCACTGTTTTTACATTATGATCAACGAATACTAACTAGCCCAACTCTCGACATTAATTAGAGGTTCGAGCACTTTGCGTTTTTCTCTAATCCACGTTTTGGCATAAATCCCACCTTAAAAAACCGCTAAAGAAAATTTTTTTTTTTTTTCTTCTAGACAGTTTGGTAGGATCATGCGTGTAAAAAAATTAAATTTATGCGGAAAACTTTTTTTCAGAACAATATTGATGGTGCGAAATGCGATTTAGTCGGTCGTCACCTCCTTTCTACTTGTTTTCTCTCTCGGCATTTCAGGCACGTGAAAGAGCGGTGGATCGGCTTGGCTTTCACATTGAGGTGGAAAGAGAGAATGACCATTCTGTGACGTTCCAAACTTTGAGCACAGAACTTAAAATAAATATCTCGCAGTCAAAATTGCTCTAAACAATATTTGTTTTGTGTATGAAACTATGGAGACTTAATATTTGTAGCTTATATGGCAAACTTTTGTGAAGCTGGTTACTATGAACTCAGAGTTTGCATTTTTATGTTGCTTTATTATGAAAAATTGTAATTAACAAAATATAAAAAATGCGTAAAAATTTTTTTTTTTTTTTGCTTTCATCATTTTTTGTTTGTTTGTTAGAGAAATGCAATTTTTTTTTTTTAATTTCCTTTTATAGTAATTGACAACAGGTATTCCAGTATGCATTCCACCAGAAACATTTGTGGTTATCAACACAATTTCCTAATGATATATTCATAGAGCAGATTACATGCAAAGCTGTACTTTATTTTGTCCTGGGAGTATACCTCAGAAAATTGGTACACAGGAAACGCCACCTGCAAATATCATGCCGTTTGAGTGAGCGATTCAGAAGTTTGCATTCCCAGGTAGTGTCCACCTTTATTAAGCATTTAAAAATCCCCAAACTCATGGAGAAGCTACTCAGTTCGTGCAACACCTTCGAGTAATCTATATAAAAGAAGAAAAAAACTCCTACGAAGAGGGGGGGCATTGCAGAAAAAGATATATCAAATGAAAAATTTACTTGACATTCCCAAGCAAGTATTTAAAAGACGGCTTGTGTGCATCACCTATGACACTGTAGTTACATCTGGGGCTGTGATGGACCGTTTTACAAAGTAGCACACACACTCATGGAGAGTACATGAAGAATGTGTAAAACCTAAGGGGTCAGCATTTACAAAAGGCACCCATTGCAACACTTGACAAGGTGAGGCTTGTAAAAAGATTGAAAAATAAAAATTGCCTCAAATCGGTACCATCTCAATGGGCACAGCCAATTTCAAGCCAATTCAATATAAGTGAATTGGATCCTTGGGTCAAGTGAAAATTTCACCAAAAAGCCAATTGAGAACTGTACTTAGAGAAAGCTGGGCCACACCAAGAAACAGAAAAGGAAAGATCAACAGGCAGAAAGGACTCCGCGAAGGGCCACTTGGTCAACACCAGTGGATCGACAACAGTCGAGAGCATCCCTGCGCCAACAATCGCCACTGTCGTGATATTTGCTTTGCACCCCCCCCCCCCCCCCCCCCCCCAAGGGCAGACCCCTGTCAGGGGGCCCATTCCTCAGTAGAAGGATAGCCGCCAGAGCCTTTGTTGCAGCATGCAAGCTGGCAGGTGTTGTGAAAACGGAAAAGCCCCGGACCAGACCCTCCCTATCTAATCCGTCCGGCAACGGTGAACTCATTGAGTAGCATCGCCACAAGGCTCCGGTCGGCTTGCCCGGAAACTAAGCGAGAGGCGACAAGGGGGTGCCGTGGGACCACCGTGTTGGCGTCGCCCCACCTAGGCGCGGAGCGAAGCCGGACCGTTCTTTCTGGCTGCGTTAACGCTGGTCCGAAACGGGGTCAGCCGACTCAAGAACCGGGAGGATTACCGGGCCAGGATTCCGGGTAACGACGCGCCAGCTGCGGGACCTCCGTGAGGGTGGGATTATCCCCGGACGCCACCTGCGGATGATCCGGCCAAGCCCTTTCCCGTGCCTCAACGCCGTCTGATGGAGGGGTCAGCACTACCACGGCCAACGTCGTCACCCGGGCAAACACTGGACCCCTTGCTGTCACCTCCTCGGCGCAGCTTTCGAGGGCAAGGGTGCCTCGGCGCCGGAGTGTAAAGTCCGGCCACAGCTGCAGTGTGTGCATGTGGGTGTGTGCATGCTCAGGGGATGAGTGGAGGCGGGGCCTGAACATGATTTGTTGGCAGCTCGGCCACCATTGGCTGCCAGCCGCGAGAGTACCGAAGAGCGACCCTATAAAAGGGGCAAACAGAATGTTGCACCTGTGCTCTCGGACGTTGTAAATACTTTGTACATGTGTATTAAACAAAGTTTCGTTGCGAGAGACCCTCCCGTCTCGTCATCTTCCTGAATGGGAGTCTGCCCGCTGCTCCTTTCCTGGCCTGGCCCTGCGTGACGCTACCCGGAGAACCCCCTCGGTCCCAACAACTGGATGGCAGCGGTGGGATCGACTTCGCCGGACCATGACTTCTTGTGTGGGTGAGTGCCCGGCCCTCTCTTTCTCAATCTGCCAGACCCATTAGCTCTAAGTTTTGCCTGTGGAGGTTGGAGATAGTCGTTGTTAGAAGGACTGTGTGACCGTTCTGACGCGAGAATTTTGTGAGAAAGAGAGCCAACACAAGCTAGGTCATGAGTCTCGAGGCATTCCGTTGGCACGAGTTAGTGCAGGTTTGTACCGAATTGGGAATCGATTTAGGGCAGACCAAACGCAGACCGCATATTATAAAACTCCTTCAGGCCGAAGACGTCAGCATTGAAGAGTTCACGGAGGCTCTGGAGGAAGTTCGCGAAAGGGAGCGGGAGGAACGCAGAAAGCGGGCCGACGAGGAGGCTCGCGAGAGGGCTAGAAAAGAACTCGAGTGGGCTCTCGAGTGTAAGAGATGGGAACTCGAGAAACGCGAGTACAAGCGCGAAATGGAGAGGCTCGACTACGAGTTCGAGCAGCTCGAGCTCGCGAAGAAAGCGCGGGAGTTGGAGGCTCTTTCTCGGGC